AGATCGGGAAAGTGTGTTATAATATTTTTTATTCATGCTTATGGTTTTATCTCAATGTGATATGACAGAACGGCTCTTTTGTTAATAATATATAATCACTTAATGAGAATCCATAATCACAAATGATAATCCGTAATCATTAATCATAATCCATAAACTTTAAAATGTGCTGACCTACCTTTTCAACCTTTTCAGTTAACACCTAAACTTAACTTAATCTAAACATTGTGGAAATATATATTTATTCCTTGTATGATTTATCTCTTAGCAAACACAGGGACATTGTAATTATGTCTGATATATCTCAGGTATAAATCTTGTATAGACTTACAATATTGAACTGTGGTTTACTCAGCGCCTTTTATAGCCGTCTGCTGTGGGTTTTTCATATTCTCTCTTTAAAAATTGAAAGAGGTACAAACTTTTATTCAATTTCTGTACAATTAAGAGTATATACTTTATATTTGTATGCATTATTTTTTAATTGATCTGCTCTTTTTGGTTGTATTTTTAGTTTGAAATGTGCACCCAGTAAGATTTTATCTCCAGGTAAACTGACCCAGGATTGATAGTTGAGCCATGTATTCATGCTTGATTATGAAACTTTTCCAATATCTGTTATGTATTTAGTGATATAAATCAATAGTGTATATTTGCCTATTCTAAATACTTCATCAAAATAAGCATATTTACAGCAAATATATTTTCTGAATGGAAAGTTCATTTCTAGGCAACCGTCTCAAAAAGAAAATATGAATCCGATTTTGATATTTTTATGCTATAAATTTCTAAAACAGGAAAAAAAGTGTCTTTTGATCTTACATTTCTATATAACTTAAAGTATTATTTACATGTCTGTTAACTCTATTCCTTGTTTTAGTCTTTATATTTCTCTGTTTTCCATGTTTGAAAATCACATTAGGGTTATTCTATTAATGGGTGGTATTTTCACAGAGTGTACCTTAAAAGAGATCTTATTTACTTGATTAAACTTTATAGCATTTGTAAAGTTATTTTCGATTGTGTTTAACAAAAGCAATGTTTGTAATTACTAGAATGTTTCAACCCTATGACTGTAAAGTATACAAAAATGTCATGAAGTGATTTCGTGAAATAAATGTTTCCTTTGAAATTTGAAATGTCCTTTAGGTGCATAATTCAATATTGTCTCCATCAGCTCTCTTATGAGCCCTTTTATATCATGTTAAATTGTTGTGCTTTAAAATGCCATTTTTAAATGGAAAAAACTTGAGCCAGTGTGGAATAAAGTACATAGGCAAGAAGTCAACAATCACTCAACAATAGAAATTTCAGAAAATCAGACATCTCATTCAAATTTAGGAAAAACATAGCGATAAATATGACTCCATGAGACGTAAGTTTAAGGAAGGCTTACAATCCTTTTTAGGTATGTTAGTCTAAGGTTCAAGATTTGGAGAAAATAGTATTTAGCCTTGGAACTCAATTCAAGGTTAAATACAATGGTACATAGTGACATCACCTCATTAACATTGAAACAAGATCAGAATGTACCACTTGAAGCTTTAAAAAAGTCAATGCCCCTAGCTTGAAACCAAAAGGAAACCTACTTGAAAATATGAAAAATCAAAAAATATTTTAACATTTTTCCTTTTTATGTGCATCCTCATTTTTATAAAATCTTAAAACATTCTATGAAAACAAGATAGCATAATGCTAGGACGTTTTCTATCTAAAAACCTATATCTGTATTCTCAATACACATATGCTAAAATTTCCAAATATATAAGTATAGCAATATGATTTGACTTTCATAGTTGGAAACACTTTTCAATAGACTTGACGCAAGTACAAATAATCATCCTTAAAAATCAGTTTCATTCAAACATTTTCATTCAAAATTTAGCCAAAGTGATAAAAATTACATCTAAAAATGTGCATGGTTCAAAATTTTGTTCATCAACAACTAAAAAATTGATTTCTAGGTCATCTAATTAACAAGAGCATATAAAATCATGAATAAACTAGATTTATTGTAATGGACAACTATAAATAATCAGATGAAAATCGATTGATTATATCTATCAATTATTCAAGTTTCAACTTTTTCTGTCAGATTTAGCCAACTGGTGGCAAAACTGGTAGCTATACTGAAACTAATTTGTGTGGAAAAATTTGTCACACTTTAGTTTTAGCCGTAATATGCTATAATATTGTAGACAAATCAATATATATTATCATAAAAAAAAATTATTTACTTGAATTCTTCATATATGGGTAGCCAATTGTTATTCAGATTTAAGCAAGTAAACCAATTACTCATTGGATAACACACATATGACCCTAACTAAAATGAACCTAATTTTCATTGATTTTTTTTGATGTAGTACATGTATTTTATGTAAACATTTTTAGTGCTTAAAAAAATATATATGTAGTTCACAAATACTGACGCTCCTAATAATAGTATGCCGCTGTTTAAAAAGCATATGTCAAAATACATAAATAAAATAAATAAAAAATAATAAAAAACATAAGTGCCATTTAACATGTAGGTCAATGAGTGAGGAAAAGAGTTTCCAAACTTTTGAAGGGAGTGTAGTTTCACAAAGAGACTTAGGGACTATGTGACGTACCAGCTACCAAAGTTGTTCCAGCCTGCCAGAACGCTCTTGCTTTTTGATAAACTGAACAAAAAAAACGCCAAATAAGGACATAGAATCCATTTATAAGTTGTAATAACAAACACTGGAATACACTGAGATTCTTACAAATATATTTAACTAAATTACAGTCGACAAACAAGCTAGACAAAGCAGAAATTAGGGAATAAAAAGGGACTGCAGTGACCCAAGGGCGCCCCAGGGGAATGACCAACTAACGAGCATAGTGTAACAAGCCAGATAAAAAAAATGAAAGAAAGTGAGCTGAATTCAATGCCCTGTGTGGGAATTGAACCTAGGACCCTTGGATCCATAGACTGATGCTCTACCAATTGAGCTATACAGGCTAAAAGAAAAATAATCCATACATCATTCTTGCTATTCTGGCCAGATAATACTGCAAACTGTAAGACCGTTGCAAAATTCGTAAAAAAAAGAACAAAGCGCCTTATTTCTTTGAAAATACAAATTTGTTGAAAATACATTAACAAATTAAATTTTGAAATGCATAGAATGCACCATAAACTATTTTTTAAAATTTTAAAAATGTCCGGGTTGAACCCCCGTACGCTTGGGACTCGCTTCGCTCACACTGATCAAAACCCAAAAATTCACACACACCCTTAACGATAGCTGGCTATGCCCCTGAACCTGGTGTATATAATAAGCTTATCGTAGACTTTCTACAAGCGTGGCTGAACGCCATCTAAAGTATGAATTGCAGTTTGGTCAAGTTTATCTAATAAAATTTGGGCTTATCAACATCAAACCACAGGATCTTGTAGCACGTTTATGATGACTGATATGCTGCCTGATATGGGGCTTTATATATAGAGAGAAGGTATATCGCCGACAAATTTCGAAAACTGGAAGTAAAAAAAAAAATGAATTATTGGTCAGATTTTTATAATTAGGGTCTCATTTTGAAAAAAAATCTTTCTTCTGTAAGATAAATGTCACTGCCTAACATTTAGATAAATTTAAATAAAAAAGTTTCTTTACTTTCTGATACCCATGCTAACGACCGTTATCTGTTCTATAGATGTCTACAAGCAAAACTCACCTTTATAGCGATTTCTCCCCAAATCTTTCGCCAATTAACTTGTCCTTTACTCGTAGAATCCTTTAACCACTAGAGATTTGTAGGGATGCTGCGCTTATGCTGTTCAGCCTGTAAAAAATGTTATTTTGCCGTTTTAAAAATGAAATTTGATTTTGTTGATATTTTGGCAAATTCTAGCGGCCATCTTTGTGAATAATTATGACGTAAATTTTGAACCAATCAAATTGCAGAACCCCGGAGAAGAGCGAAATTCATAATATCTATTTATGATTTAAAATATATTTGGGCAGTTAAACATTAAAAAAAACAAAAGATAAATATATATTTTTGTTTATTAACTATTTACATAATTTTTAATAGCCCCTTTCTATATAGAATTATGAAAGGTCAGACGGGTCAAGTTTACTACGTCATTATTTCAAGATGGCGGCAGAGAATCGTTCCAAACCGTATTTTTAAAATTAGTATGCTTTTACACATTTTTGAACAATAATAGTACAATTGGAACAGCGTATACCATTGCGTATGTGTGTATTACAACTGGATCAAACCAGAGATCAATCGACGAAACATTGAGGGAGAAATCGATCGATAAGGTAAACTATGAAAAATGTCTGTATAGAAGTAATCATGGTCTGATGCTAAGGTAACAGATAAGACGAAAAAAATCATATTTGCAGCGTGTCTACAAGTAATATAAGACATGTATGTTGCCGCTAAATAATTTTTCTTAAAAATGAGACCCTTATTGTGGGATTCTGAGCAATAGTTTTTTTATTTTTTCATTTACAGAACCCGGAAGTAGTGAAGTGTTATTACCCTTATTACTTATACTATACTAAGGCCTATCATAGTGCTCATCTCATATCATAGTGCTACATGTCTCTGTGCATCAAACTGCATTTTACTGTGTTTAAAATTACCAACAAAACCTTATTTGGGTCTATATCATATCGATTCAATAGTTATCGATTGAATCATATAGATTGAACTGTTTTGATAACCGATTATTCACTTACTGTACCATTACCTGGAGAAGTTTCAAACATCGACATTAATAGACTCCAACAGAAATACGAGCGTCATAAATTCTTCATAATGTATGCTTTTTCTTAAAAACATAACTGATAATATGAAGACTATAAAATAGGCTTTAACTTCATCATAAACATAGTCCTACTTGAAATGTGACCGGTGACTAGATTCATCAAAGAAAATTAGTTGTTAGTTGAGCACGTACTGAGATGTCAAAAAGATAATAAAATTTCGAACGGATATTTGGATGAAGTTTTTCGTTCGCTAATCAGTTACACCACATTTGTTTGTACTTCCGGTTCAAAAGTTGTATAACTATTTTGTAAAATTGTCGATCTAAACTGAATATTCCGTGTATTATAGACCATTTGGAGCTCAGAAATTTAGTCTTTAACAATCCTAAAGTATCAAGAACATACTCAACATGTCATCTTTCGTCGACGCCGAGATTCAGTCCGGAAAGAAAGTTGTAGTATTTTCAAAAACCTATTGCCCATACTGCAGTAGATGTAAGAAGGTTCTTCAAGCTCATATTGGGAAGGAAATAACTGCCGCTGATTTCAAATGGATTGAGATGGACAACATGTCTAACTGCAGCGAAATACAAGCATACTTGAGGAAAATTACTGGAGCTAGTTCAGTGAGTATAGATACAGTGGGAGACATAAATAAACATCAACCATCAAAAGTTGTTATACAATGAGCTAAATTCTAAGTTTCATGTCTCAAACTCTCCCGAGCTGTAGAAAAATAGTTTCCGTTCACTTTAAGTAGCACAATGAATGAATCCAAAGCTTCTTACCTGCAAATGATGGATAAATTCCTACCAAATCGGACGAATGTTTTCATTGATCACCATGTTTGTGATCCAAGGTGGAGTGACTCCCAGAATGCAACATCAGTTAACCTTATTTACTTGTGACAGGTTTCAAAATGGCGGAACTGCATTTTGAAAGTTGGCACGTGTCATGATGCATTCTGGGAGGCAATCCTCCTTGCGGCATAATCGGGCTCCAAAATCACCTCAACATTTGAAAAGATGGCATTAACATGTGAATATCGCTTCAAATTTTTAAGTTCCTATTTGTCATTATGGACACAAATTCCACTATATGTGTACATTCCGAGACGGAGAAAATAGAGCACTCAATTCACTGAGGTAAGAATTTATGACATATGTGACAGAATGTCTTTTTCATGGTGTTAGTAATTTTTTATGTTCACCACTGTAATAAGTCCCAGAATTACCCCCCTAAACAAAGGCCCTAGGAAAATATATAAAACAATTGAGGTGATTTCTCTGAGAAAAAAGACCTGATTTGCTAAAACAATGTCAAAAATAAGAAAAAGTGCAAAGCCTCCCTAATTTATTCAGAATGAGTCTCAATCGATTCATATGTGATGTAGGTAGTGGTGCAACTCATTCAGTGCATACAAAAAATGATCATTCCTGGGGTATTGATAAACAAAACATGCTTACTGTTTTTGAAAAAAAAACATACTCGACCAAATATCTTCGTCAGGTTCAACAAGTGAATAGTGAGTACACTGTCATTCAAGTTGCAACGCTGATGTGATGTCATATTCAGGAATGCTACAGAATGAAAATATAAATAGTGTATAATACAACATAATATTTTGCTCTCTTAAAAAGTTAGAGTTCCTTGATCTGTGTATTGTGTTTTGATCATTCAAAGATCATGTGACTTTAAATACTGACCTCTCACTTAAATTACCCTTTAGATGTTTAAGGCAAGTTGTCATAGCATCTATAAAGTAGTAGTTATTTTGTTGTTATTGTTATTCTACTGATATCGCACCATCTGTGACATCAGTCACATAATTATCCTCATCAACAATCAAACAAACAAATGTCACTGTCACATGCCATGCATCACATGTCACTGTCACATGTCATGCATCACATGTCACTGTCACATGCCATGCATCACATGTCACTGTCACATGCCATGCATCACATGTCACTGTCACATGCCATGCATCACATGTCACTGTCACATGCCATGCATCACATGTCACTGTCACATGTCATGCATCACATGTCACTGTCACATGCCATGCATCACATGTCACTCTCACATGCCATGCATCACATGTCACTGTCACATGCCATGCATCACATGTCACTCTCACATGTCATGCATCACATGTCACTGTTGATTCCGAAATTTCTGATTCCATTCTGTCCAAGCCCTAATTCCTATGTATATAATTTTGTATGTGTACTGTAGATTGGGTTAATTTGGCGCCCGCTTTAATTTAGCGAATTTTGCGAAATTGAAAAATTTGACAATAATAAATCTCATAAGAAAAAATAAACCTAGCCAAACATGACCATTTACATGGTAATTCGCAAACAGCGCGTAGGTTTAACATTTTTTGCATATCTGCCAAATTTAATAGCCGCCAAAAATGGCAACATCGCCAAATTAAGTAGCGCCAAATTAACCCAATCTACAGTATGTGGTTTAACTATTGATGTTGATTTATTGTTTATCTTCAGGTACCAAGAGTCTTCATTAATGGTAAGAGTGTCGGAGGGTGTGATGAAACCACCGCCTTGGATAAGAGTGGAAAACTCTCAGCCATGCTGAAAGCCTAACTCTTCATCCATCAAAGTCAGATGTAAGCCGCATCCAATTTAACAATCTTACAGGGTACATCGGAACATATAGAAAATCGAAACATTTATTTACCTTGCTTTTGAAGTATTACAAGTTACAATTATCAGCATCAAGAACCATATTACATTTATATATACAGTGCACTTATGAAAATTAACATTTACAGTATCATGAATGACTGTGGTACATAATTGATATAATTAAGGAACGCACAAAAGCCATGATCTAACCAGTATTTGTATCAATATGGTGCCAAATGGACAACCTTATTTTATTATATGTCACTGTCAAGGTGCCAATTTATATTAATAAGCAGTATTCTGGTAAACCTGGTATCAAACAGGCTGATCCAGATTTTTTCAGGGATGATACATTGTTTGCTTCTCTGTTTTCTTCTCTTTCGGTCTTCCTCTTGTTATTTGAAATCATGTTGCTGATATTATATAGCTTTTCTCTATCTCTAACAAGGAGGATTGGCTCCCAGAGACACAACTCAATATTTCCCAACAATGGAAATGTCCAAATGTCACTTTTTCTGAAACTATAACTGACTATAAATTCATAATCAACAGTCCAAAATGTTAGAATCAATATCTCGATTGCTTTTGTGATTTGAACTTTTTTGTTTGGAAATAAGACCAAAATTCGCGATTCAAATTCTGAAGGGAAGAAAATGGTTGCTGTTTGAATTTTGGCAGAATATTGAGTTGGAACCCTGGGAGTCAATCCCCTTTGATTTCTTGGAAGCCCATGGTAATATTGGTGCATTTGATAATACTCAAAGCAAGACTTTTCCCGTTGTCTTACCAGTTTTAACCATGACACAAATACCAATGTTAATCTTTTAGCAGTAAAGTGAACCAAAGTCCAAGTAGTTCTAGTCAAGCGCAGAAATAAAAATGTTTTTGTTGTTAGAACACAGGATATGATATTAATTTATGAAACAGGAACCATGGCTTAATGGTGGTTGGATTTTACATATTAAAATAATGTATAGGCAGAATCAAAGTGAGTGAGATATTTTTCCAAGAAAGTAAATTGTTCAAGAAAAACAGATTTAAACATCAATGTGATAATTATTCCATAATTATCACAAAGTTGATTAAATTCATTCCATGGTTATCACAAAATTACAGTTGAATCTTGAATTATATTACGATTTGATGAGATATTTCAGATCTCTTTTGAGATGTTAATTTGGAGTGATAAAGACAACATTTCCATGTCAGTTGTCAGCCGAGGGGTCATTTTACAATATTAACATTCTTCTGTATATTCTCAGGTATATACAACTCATCTAGTGCAAGATGCACTTAACCATGAGTATATACAACTCATCTAGTGCTAGATGCACTTACACAAGTTTTGTAATACACTGGCAGATCCAGGGCGGGGTCATTAAGGCCCAAACATTTTGTAGGGCCTCAAAAATGGGCCTTTTTAGGCATAATTTGGCTTTTTTAGTCCAAATTATAAAAAAATGGGCTTTAAATTTTCAAAATTTGGGCCCAATTTTGGGTTTTGGGATCCCAAAAACTTGTGTTGAAGGTTATTTGTGGACTCAAAATTTGGCCCCCCTTGTCAGTTTTTTGATTCGCCAGTGTAATACATGTAGGTTATCATTAATTGCAAAACATGTACATGTCATTATATGTTGTAAAGTAAACATGTAGTTTCATCAGAATTCCTTACAATAGGAACAATAAATAAAAACAATAAGTAAAATTATTAGAATTCCTTACAATAGGCACAATAAATGAGAACAATAAGCAAATTTATTTGGAAAACAGTTGAAAAACTCCTTGAAAAGTTCTCAGAAATATAAGATTGTCTCTAATGAAACCCATATTATGTAATTTTGACCTTATACAATATTTATTTTTACAATGTACTCTGAACAGTATCTCTGTAGTGAATAAAATGTTGTCATCATCAAAAATTATTTTTATTTGGTATTGTTTGAAGCAATGTGAAAATAGTTCGCTGCAACATAGAAAGATGGCAGATATGGTTAATCGCTACATTCTCCAAATACTGGACAAAATGCCAGTATTGTTATTTTTCAAACAAGAATCACTCCTTCCCCACATTGTCTATATCTTCCAGTTTTGCACAAAGAGTGCACTTATGTGCCTAGAAAAGACTTGTGAGAGTGAAAGAATGTTTTGATAAAGTGTATAAAAAACAAGAAAATTCAGTGAAAAAAATCAGAAAGTTTTCAGAATTTTTTCACTGAATTTTCTCATTTTTAATACATTTTACAAAACAAACCTTCTCACAAGGCTTTTCTAGGCACATAAGTGCACTCTTTGTGCAAACTTGGAAGATGCAGACAATGTGGGGAAGGAGTTATTCTTATTTGAAAAATAACATGTGACTCAATTGAGGAATGCAGAAAATTTCCCAACATGCACCCTGTCCTTAACTGTTACATTTTGCTTAAAATCAAAAACTTTCCCATTACTATACGAGCAAAACAGAATGTGGCTAAGTAACATAATGAAGCAGGAGTCTTACTTTTAGTCGATGGGTGCTCCACCAGAAATATATTTTAAGAATTTTTTACGAATTGGTTCCATTATTTTATCATTCACATGAGTGGAAAAGGTCTCAAAAACATATTTCTAGGGAAACACCCATTGTTTTTTTTTATTTTCTCAGAGTTCAGATAAATTGGTATCGTACAACTGTGTTACTTTGTTCCTATCCCATCATGCCATACACAGATTTTAACCGCAAATAAAGAGTCTAACCTTAAAAAACGAGTTCATTGACTTACAAAAAATGTTCTTAAAAATATATATATCACACAAGTTGTTTTTGGGAATATCTAAGATCACCTATTATCTAAGATCATCTCTGATGTAGTGTTAAACTTCCATGATGATCACATCCAGAATAAAAAAGCAATGTCCTTCTAAAAAGCTCTCCTTATCGGGGGTTCTCATTTGTTTTTCTTTTGAGTGTGTGTAGTTAGTTCAGCTTCAGCAGTGTGCTGCATGAAACAGGCTAGATATAGTTCAAAATTTGATTTTTTTGTGTTTTCTATTTCAACTATAGAATAAGTGAATAGGGTGTAATTAGTTCCGCTTTAGTGCACTGCATGTGACTGTCGATCATCTTTTGTTCCACTCTGGTTCGGAATAGCTTGCCAAGTGTCAATTCTTTTAAAACAAAAGAATAAGAATACACTCTTTTTCGTTACAACTTTACATTCTTTAAAATAAACTACAGTTCTGTAAAATAAAGTACAGTTCATTTTATTGTGTTGCTACCTGATTGAGGTTTTAATCAACCTATTTTTTAAGGTTATTTCCAGATATGAATCATATAACCATCTATCTATCTATGCTATCCATTGTTTTCAGCATGATTTTGGTCATCGAAAATTGTTATCTAATTCAAAACTAGCACATTATTGGCTTGTGAAAATACATTTTATACAGTGGATATTTACATGTGCAATACATTTACATAAATGTAGTGTTCGGATAGGATAAAGATGAGTGATGCTGTTATGAAATTTGGCAAAGTACAGTAGTATTGAAATCTAACCAGGTACTAGGCTTCCTCCGGCGCAACCTCCACCAGTGCCCAGAGAACATTAAAGCCCAGGCATACAAGTCACTAGTACGGCCTAACCTAGAATAGGCTAGTGCAGCATGGGATCCTTACCGCCAGAAGGATATCAACATGCTGGAACAGGTACAAAGGAGAGCAGCCAGATTTGTTACCAAATGTCACTCTAGGGAACCAGGCTGTGTCACCCAAGCTCTCCAACACCTGCAGTAGGAATCACTACAATCCCATAGGGAGGCTTCTAGACTTTCCCTCTTCTACAAAGGAACTCACAACTTAGCAGCCACCACTATACCCACATACTTCAGCCTTCAAATAAACACAAATGCTAGACAGTTCCATCCATCCAAATTCATCCGACCAGCTGCAGAACGGATGCTTACAAGTTTAGTTACTTTCCAAGGATAATAGTAATTTAAAATGGAACACTCTACCCAGTGATATTTTAGACAGTGATAGCCTATCCAGTTTTAAATCTTCTGTCAGCAAGCAGATTAACAATAAGGCTCAGTTGTATTTTAGCAATAGGTCTACTAAATGATAATAGTGTAATAAAATTACCTTAGTTCGAGTTCTTTAATCTGCAACTTGACTTAAAAGGTGTAAGGCACGACATTTTCTTGAAAAATATTGTCATTTTTTATAAAATCCATCTACATATTTCCGACATCTTGAGTTATATCAGCATAAGCATGAGCATGTAATAGTGACTAAATTATTAATAAAATCATCATACAGACACTTGACACACGGCACTCAAATGCATCTTTGATCGCACTAAAGGTGATTATCGGCATGGCGTGCAAAGTTTTAATACGTTGGCCTCGATGGCCACAAAGTGAAGTTTTTCTTGTAAAACTTGATTTTGTCAATATCTCAGAGACGGAATTAAGATAATACTTACCAACCCTTGGTACATGTATATCACCACTGGCGGATCTAGGGGGCGGCCATCCTCCTTTTTGGGACCTAGAAAAAAAATTTAGGGCCCCAAAAAATGGGCCTTTTTGGCCAAATCATCAAGAACGTATCTATATTGGTTGAAGTGTACGTTTGGAATAAAAAATCTTCTGAAATCAATTGAAATGCAAAGAAAATAAATGGAATATAATGGTAGAGCCATAAGAGAAAATAGAAAACTCGGAAATTATACGAAAACTGATTACAAACTTGAAAGATTTTAAACTTTAAGTGTGAACAAAATGTTAATTTTTAAAATGGCCATATTTAGATTAGCAAACAATAATTTAAGAATTGAAACAGGGAGACCCGAGAGAAAGAAAAAAGATGGCACTATAAACAGAATCGACTTGAATTAAAAGACAGAATTTGTCAAATTTGCAATACAGCAGGAGATCCAAGACGTCATTTCCATTGTTCTTTCGGCAAAATCGCGTAGTAATCTACGGTGATCAGTCCATTTAAATTTCACGCTTTTGAACGTCATGGTGTATACATGCATTTCTAATCGATCATATCTCAGTCAATATTTATCATTATATTATAAATTTGATAATTAATGAAAGCTTATAACCAGGGCATTACGTATGTGAATTTATTATTTTGGTCAGATAAAATACCAACCAGTTACGGGTGCTAAAGTTTTGACATATTTTTCATTAAAAATGCAGAAATGTGTATCATTTTCGCGGGTTAAATAGGCTATTAAAACAAGTCGGGTTAAAAAATGTTTTTCACTCATCATTTAGCCCACATCGAGCTCTTTCCAATGGTATAATTGTTTTTTTCTGAAACCCCTGAAGACAAATTTCTGCCAACTTTCTGTAACGACGAGTGAAAAATCATGGTTTTTCCCGCAAACCAATGACGTCGTATTTCTCGATTTTTATACCAAGATTAGATTTGATACGCGTATGATATTTGTTCACGGTCATATCTCGGTCAAT